AAATTCATGAAATAGTAGTTCAATAAAATTTTGCATGCGAGTCAACAAACGAAATGATATGGCCTTTCACCCATGAACTATCTCGAAAGGGTTAATTGAAAACATATTAAAAAACTCCAGCCAATTGCTCCTGAGATTCACACAATACAAGAAATGAACATACTTATAAGTATTCACGTTTTTGTAGCAATGCATATCCTAGAGTGAAAACTGATGAATGCTACAACCTTAAAAAAGCTTAAAAATAAGCACATTAGCTACTAACCTGTAAATATATAGCAATGATCTATCAATGATTCCCTAAAAAGTGTAGCACCAATATAACAAAATTTATCTTTAATCTTCCAAAATTACAGAAAGCAACCTATGAATCTGATTGTATTACGTACAATTTCACATCCCATAAAATGACTTCTGACATGTTACTGTTTAAGTGACAGTCAGTAGCAGAAAGATACAGAAAGTAAACCATAAAAATATGCAAAAAAGTGTACACATAATAATATACTGGTTCAGTAAATGTTAAAATACAATTCTTACAACTAAAATAATGAAAGCAATGCACTAGTGAAAGGTAACGAGCAGAGTGTATAAAGAAGTTTTCAGATATTAAAGCCATGCCATCTGTACACAAGTTCAAGTATAAAGAACAGATACCCGGAAACTATAAATAAATAAAACCAAACTCTTCAAATTACTAATAAAAGGATATACTTCAATATATATAAATAATTACACTAATATACTATCATAATAAATAATGAAATCAGCAACGGTAAATAGAACAGCTCATTCAGTTGAACCAATGAGGTCATGCTATACTAAAGTGAGATGTTACATTACTTAAAACAGTTAGAAAAGGGTTATCTGTGCTATGCCACCATAGGCAATCCCATTAGCAGTAACATGTATTGTATTCAATATACCACAGAATTAAATAAATTATTGGAAAAACCTGTTTTGTGAAAAATGAAAATCAGTTTATGAGCCCTCAGTATAAAATCTTGTAATGTTGAACAAATACTAACTAAAGAGATATGAGAAGTATTGTAAAATAATCTATTTGGATTATCTGAATTAAGAAATAAAAAATTTATAACTTTGCAATTAAAAGAATCTTTGTTAAAAATCTAATCTTATTAGCATATGTTGAAATGTATAAATGTGTAATGATAATTACAGCGACAAGCACATCACAGTATTTTTAGTAGTACATGAACTTAAATGTCTTAACAATTGTCAGACAAAATTCCGTATGCCACTTACAAATATAACAAGTAACCATCAAGAGACTTCTGCAAGTGTACCTTCTGTAACTCTGCTCTCAGTGGCTTCAAAGCTTCATTTCGAACTTTTTCACCTGGAACTAAATAAACGTTTGATCAAATATTCAAATTATTTACGGAAAATATCATACTTGCAAATGTAAAATGTACATATTGTAAAGATAGAGCCACAAACTAAACAACATGCAATAAAATATTTTGATACAGGTAAGTGATCTAGATAATATGTAAAAACTCATGAAACTAAACACAATATCTATATTTTATAGCGAGAATTTGTTACAAATTTTGATGGCATGACGATAACTCAAATCTGGATCATTGCAAAAGTGGTAGCCAGTTTTTTTATTTGATTCCTCCTCTTTATTTTCTTGTGTTTTTCACAAGAAACTGTTCAGGAGATGCCTTTGCATTCTGGTAATAACTACAGCAGACAGCAAAACTGATCCAAGAACAGGATCAGAGGACCCCCGACTGATACAGAGAAGTTCTCTACTGAATATTGAGTTTTCCCTCACCTTTTACAGGCATTTCAAAATTTCACACTGTATCCACTTACCACAACCTAGTCCACTAGAAACCACTGACATCATCTGTGGTTCTCATGCAGATCAGTTGAACTTGAGAGCAATCATGGAAAGTTGCCAAAATGAGGTAACTGGCCATGGTTACACTGACTGTAAGAACTTAAGTCATTAAAAAGAAGCTAACACCTTTGTTGACACCGACTCCACATTCACTTATATGGAATGACATGTATGATAATAGTGTACTGCCTTTGTTATTGCTAATAAAAAGAAATGAGGTGAAAGAAATTATGCAGGATTTCAGAACTAATATTTGGATTATTTCCTTAAACTGTTTCACCAGGTAATTGCTTGGAATATCTGGAGCCATGAACTAGTATCTGACTAGCTCTACAACAGGAAAAACACTGTAGCAGAGTTGCATTAGCAATTCAACCCAGTAGATAACAGAGACATCTATTAGGTGGAATTTAAAACTTATAAACATGGTGCCCATGAAAACTTAACTCCATATGCCAATGAACTGCAATGATTACATTTCAAGGCCAGCTTTTCTGATAGGAAAAACACTACTGATCACAGTAACCAATTACTGATTATTTTACCAATTACCACACAAAACAAAATGGTCATTGTCTGGCACCTGTTCATTCTTAATTTCTAATAAATCAATAAACAAATACATATTAATGGAGAAAAAGAATTTACACAGTAAAAAATACTTTAATTTGATTGTTTTATTAATGTAACACCCACTATTTCCATATATATATTTGATCTCCAGTTATGTAACTATTGTTTACTTTACTGTAACTGATCCTATAGTTTGCAACAACTTCATTTAAACAAATGCTTTATGATTATTTACTAATGATCATCCATGGATGAATGTCAGTGTAATTTACTACTTTCTCTGAACATGTTAGACTGAACTGTGGGCAAAAATATGGTGCTGCTCTTTGGATTCAGAAATAATTTAATATGCAAATTTATTTCTGAAAAATTTGTTTTTCATGTGATTTATAGCTTCTGCTAGTAAAGAGACATCTGGTTTGAATGTCGTACTTATAGTCTAATGGTAAATGTCATCCACAATATTTTAAATTCTATCTAAAAATGTATAGCATAAAATATATACTTTTATCAATACATACTGTTCTGAAAAATATGTCCAAATTTGAATTTTCTTAAATGCTAGCACATTAATCCTAAACCACTACAATTAACATTACTGCTTCATATTATGCTCTGTATTTTTGACAGTAAAATAGGAGGTGCTTAAAGATTATTAACACACTGACATGCTGGCAAGCAAATCTCAAAATGAAAAAAGATTGTAATAAATATTAAAAACATAGTAATCCAAAAAAACATACTTAATTATGGACATTTTAGAATTTCCTTAAATTCCATCATTAGCATTAAAATCTCAAAAAGAAGTTAATTCATAATATTCGAACTACAACAAACAACAGTAGCTATTGAGCAAGTTTTCGTAGTCCATCCGAAGTTTAGAAAGAACAGATTTAAACAGTAACAATGTAATGGCATGTACTACGATAAAATGAGCAGCATACCCGTTTAGTAAATAACATTGTTAAGAGAAACCATTACAGAGAAAGGCTTAAATATAAGTATAAACACTGTACCTTTAAAATAATAATAAATATCAAATAAAAACACTGAGAATCCAGAACTGATGACATTAATGACAACAGAGAGGAGTTAATGTTATTATTTAGTGTTGGATGATCATTGAAAATGAAGAACCTTTCTTTAATAAAGGGTTCTTAATCTGTGGTTCTGGAGTAGAGAATGTTAAAGTTTTCTAGAAACATAGAGTGGTTGTTATTCGCACTGTGCAATCAGATACAAGACTCTGTTGGATTAGTTGGCTTATATCTGCTTCTAGCTGAAATTCCCATGTGCACGTATTTGTAGGTGTAGTTTTACCAATATAAGTTGCTTTACAGCCACCACAAGTGTATTTATATATGACCCACAAGCACATAGGAATAGGTAGAGTGTATTTGGTTTTAAACATATTTTTAATTCTAAATGTTGACGTAAATACTAAACGTGGGTAATATGTTTTGGTTATTTTTTAATTTGATATTTGAGTTTAAAACTGTTTGCAAGTGCAAGGAGTGATAAGAACTAGTGGGTATTTTGAGACAGTGTGTGACTTTTAGGTAGGTTCTACTTTATTTGTTAAAATATTTGTGTGATAGTGTATTAAATTAAGGGGATAACTATTATTTTGCAATATGTCAAAACCTGCAATAGTTCAGTTCAGCCTGAATGGCTGTTAGCCAAATGATATCAATACCCCAAACCTATTGCTCTAGCTGTGCTGATGATATAGATGGAATAGTGTCCCAATCTATGTAAATACAGCAGAGACATTAGTTACAATTGTGGACAATTATACCTCTCATTGATCTTGCAGTATATCAGTTACTGGTATATAAACTACCACTCTGGACAGTAGTTATACTCTTTCTTCTCAACTGTGGTCAGTCAGCACTGATAACTAACCATAGCGTAAGAACCAGCATTTCATGTGTAGAAATTTTACAAAAGTTATCTTCTAGTAAATTCTATGCACCATGTAAACTACAGCTCTGTAGTGGAACCATAACATTTTGGCTCAACTATTTAAAAAAGCAGTACACAGCACAAGTCTATGAAAGGTGATGCTATTGCAATCCTGTCTAATACACAAGTGGTGTTTTTAGTATACTATAAGAACAACCTCAAGATGAAACACCAGTTAAAGTTGTGGTTGAAACGACTGATGCCACATCTAATGATGGTGTACCATGCAAAAGAGCAACAGTTCATTAGCTTTTCACAAAATGTATTTGTAAGTGAAGTTACACTATAGATATCTCACATAGCCACACACCAACTGTGGAATTGCTGGAATGTCTAAAAATAGTTGCAATCTCTCTTAGTTAATATGTCAAATGAGGGGAAAGGCAGCTGAGCGACAGTTTGAGCAAGGAGACTGGGTTTGACTATTGTATATCTGAGCAGAATGTAAACCACTCAGATCCAGCTGGAATGGGGTTTTCTTGTTTTACAGCAATTTAATGTGTCAAACTCAAAGATTCAGCATTTGTAAGGCATTAAAAAGCACACTTTGATAAGCTAAAGCCATATGTAACTTATGAGCATTTACAATACTGACTTGACTAGGAAACACAGAGTGAAGAACTTGAAGCTCCAGACAATGATGTCAGCACCAAAATGACACTCCAAACTTTATCACAGTGGCCACCGTGTTGGAAGTGTACATCACAGATGGTAACATACTAACTAACATCCATGTGTATATGTTGTAGTACATGTATATACATATACATACTTAGGTAGTGTAAATATTAATAAAATTATACTACTTAAAATGCACAAACTAAATGAAGCACCAATGCCTGACTGAACGAAATTTGAAATTTGGAGAAAGAAAATACTATAGAAATATATTTTGAAGCATTGATTAAAAAAACTTGTTACTTTTGTGGCCGTCTTGCCTGCATGGCAAGGAGTCAGTTCAGGTAAGCCAACATTGTCAGCTAGAGCGTACAGCAAAAAATGCAGGCAACATTTTAATTAGTTTGAAAGTTGAAAAATAATTTTAAATAAAAACATATTACTTCATGTTACAGCGTGAAGTTTGAGAATTTACAAATAGTTAGAAAAAAACAACAACAAATTCTATCATGTTACAGCATTACAAAAATGTGGAGTTCAACTTAGTTCCACACGCTTTTCATTCTTGTCATACACATGTATAGATAGCTTGAGTTTGCAGTTTTGACAAGCCAGGCAACAGTATAGATGATATTTTATTCTACTTACATTCTCTTTTGAGAAGGCTCTGCTGCAGCAAAGCAATTGTAGACTTCTTGCTACAATTGTACAATTGTCTTTTGTTTTTATTTTTGTGAGTTACTAAAAAGTGCCATGTGGAATAATGCTTTTCCCATGACTTAGAACCAGGACTGCAAGAAGAAAAACATTCAACCACTATATGTTGGTGAACATATACAGTAGTAATATTTGTGTGTAAAGCACTATACAGGTATGCCAAAAAACTGCTGCAACAAAGTACTTTGTTTGAGACAACATGTACAAAACCTTTACAGTTATACATTGATAGTTTGGAACATAGCTTTTTTAATCACCACCCTATGAATAAACCTGAGGTCTTGACCTGTAATTGGATAGGTTGATCAGTGTGGACCTCATTGCTTTTATAAATTTTACCACTAAAAAATGGTCTTTTACTCTGATCAGCAACCATATTAGTCTCACTCTTGACTCTATACTTTTCCTTAAACTTTAAAACCTTTTTTGAATCATGATCATGGAAATTATTTGACAACCGAACATCGACCTTACTAAAAAGTTGGAAAACTTTACTTACCATTAACTTTGCTGATAAACATAATCCTTGAGCTCCTGAACACATCCTAGATTATACTGCTATCAGAACATGACAGTGCAGATGAGATGCTGAAGAAGGTGAGTGGGAGCTCAACTCCTCA